TTTGCAAAAAAAAACAAAAAAAGCAAATTACAACAATAAAAGAATTCAACGACAAATGGTAACTTCTTTTCCACGAATGAAACGACGAATACAATAGTTTAATAAAAGTTTAGTAGTGGTGTTGGTTTTTGTTATATTCCTGGGCTTGGATTTGGTTTGTTTTGACCAATGCCGCATCACTGTGACGCACTATTACGCCTTATGTTGCAAATGACCGTTGGCGTCAAAGTGACAACGGCGGAGGCGTTACGTGTACTTCTTACTTCTTTCTGTTACTTTCAATTCAGCCCCGTTTGTTTTTTTTTTTTTTTCTTTTTCACATTAAAAACCAACCTAAAAAGTTGGTTTGATATTTAAAATTTTTCATATAAATTATTTTTTATATTCTCAAATCTTGTAAACAGTCACTATATAAACAGGTTGATAACCACATTGGCCTTTTTTTGTATTTTTCTTTCGATACCGTATCGTGTAATATAGAGGTTTTCACACAAAAAAAATAAAAAATAAAATAATCACAAAAAGTCGTACGAAGAGCAATAAGAGAAAAAGGAAAAAATTGCTACTCGCCACTCGTGTTTACTCGTTGTTATGTATAGTTCTGCTCTGCTCAGCTGCTGTCTATGCTGCGGCAGCGGTCTATGTTATTTGTTGTATTTGCCTTTGTGCTGTCACTGACTTCTTTTTTATGGTTGATCCAAAACTTGTGTGTTCGTTTATACTTCTTTTTCTACTTATTTTTTTCTTTTTGCAATTTTTTTTCTCGTTGAATTTTTTCCTTTGCTGTGTGTGTGGTATGCGGTTTTAATTTCTTGTTTATTACAGTTTTAGATTTGCAGAAAACTTTGTCTATTCGATTTTCATTAACTTTTTAATGCGTTCTTTTTGTTCAAATGATTTTTTTGAAGCTGCACTTTTTTCTCTATTAAATTAATTTGTTCCGTCGTGAAAATCGTAAAAATTTATTTCACTCGACATTCGCCAGTTAGATGATGATGTTGCCACTGTTTTTTCCTATTTACAATGATGATGATGTTCCCACTCTTTCAGTTTATTTTAAACAAGTGGCTCACCAAGCGGCATGATAGGCCATCAACATTTTTTTATATGATGTTTTTCATCAGTTTGGTTGCATGTTCTTCAAACCAATTCCAACTTATATGAAATACACATGTTTGTGTGTCCTTCAAACCACTCTTGATATAAACAGCCAGAGGTTTGTAAAACGAATTTATTAAGGTGACTGCAGGGTCAAACTCGTCAATTTTTTTTGTATGGAGTTTTGACAACATGTCTCATTTTTTACATGTGTGATTTGACATATCACCGTTCGAAGAATGGTAACTGGCAACACCTAGTAGTTGTCAATTGTAAGATGTTGCCACAAACAAACTATATTGCACATTTTTGTCCAGAGATTATAAACAGGGTTGTATCTAAATACAACCTTGAAGGTTAAATGTGAGAGATATTTTTAATACATATTTTAATAATAAGGTATATATTTTTTTTTGATAATTGATAGCCATTTTAGTTGTACGCTCAGAGGCGTAGTATTATTTGCCTGCACTCTTTTAATATCAGATTTAAGGAACCTCAGTGCAATTTTTTGCATATAAAATGGTAACCCCAAAATTTTATATGCAGAACAAAGGAAAGAGAAACCAATATTTGATTTGATCCCTCATCATTAAGGCAGATTAGGGAACAAATCAAAATTACCTGCACTGATTTTATGCGAACATTAATTTTTTATATTAACTTTTTTTGGTAAACTGTCTTTGTCGGGAGCAAATGAGGTATATCTAATACTGGATTCCCCGAAATTAATTTCACGCCAACTTTTAAATTAATTTAAAAGTTGGCGTTTCAGATTATAAATATATACATATATTAGTGACTTTGATTTAAACCTCAATCACTATTTTTATTAATATTGTTTTTGCTCTTATTCCTTTTTTAAATTTTCCATTTTCAATAATGATAAAAAATAAATAAATTTGGCAAACAAAAGAAAATTTTCATACATCGTATATAGCTCCCTTTTTATACAACCCTGCATCAATATCTTTTCTAACCACAAACTTTAGTTATCGTTTCTTGTACATCTTTAGTAAAAAAATATTTTGTTCCATATCACTTCGTGCAATAATCAATTGTGTTCAAAAAGTGCAAGTGATTACATCGTTTTTTGACAAAACAGCCAAATATAAAACAAATTAAGTAAAAATGACAGCTGGAGAAGTAATTGTGGATATTTCTGGTGATGGTGGTGTCAAAAAGGAAATTCTTAAAGAAGGCACCGGTACTGAGACTCCAGGCAATGGTTGTAAAGTGTCTCTCCATTATACCGGCAAATTGACCGATGGTACAATATTTGATTCCAGCGTTGATCGTGGACAACCATTTGAATTTAATTTGGGCAAAGGTGTGTTTTAAAACGAAAGTATTTTTCTCTACTAACAATTTCATTTCATTCTAACAATTTCATTTTTCTAGGTAGTGTTATAAAGGCCTTTGATTTAGGGGTGGCTACTATGAAATTAGGTGAAAAATGTAATTTAATTTGTGCCCCCAATTATGCTTATGGCGAAGCGGGTAGTCCACCCAGTATACCACCAAATTCAACATTAATATTTGAGGTAATTACTGAAGATAATGGTTGTTGATTTAAGCTTATTGAATTTATTTTCCTCTTTTTCCAAAAGCTCGAAATGTTGGGTTGGATGGGCGAAGATATTAGTCCTAATAGTGATGGCAGCATTGAACGTTTTATTGTGGAAAGTAGCGAGAAAAAACGTACACCAAATGAAGGTGCATTTGTTAAAGGTAAGAGTATTTTTCATTCATTAAATATTGGTTGAAGTTAGCCAAAAATTTTAGCATTTGTTTTGGTTTTGTTTTATCATGCGGTTTTTTGTATTTTTAATTAATTTTCTGTGGTTGTTTTTTATTTTGTTTGTGTTGGTAACGAGTATTCTAGAAAGTGATGTTTACTGTTAGTGATGATAAGTATGTGTTTATGTGAGGTTAGTGTTATCGATAGCATAATTGTGACATGGTATAGTTCCCACATAAACAAATTATAGCTGTACATATTTTGACAGTATATATTTTTTTAAAGCTGAGCTTAAATTTAATTTTTGGATATGATAGAAGATCAGAAAAGCATTTTTACTTTTATAACGGATATTAAAAATTATTATAAATAATAAGTTCTATAAATATTCTACGTATTTATATAAAACTAGCTATACATACAACATACATATGTGAAGGACATTCTAACTTGATATTATCTTTAGTCAAGAATATTAAGACCATTATTTGGAATAACGTCCTAGAAGAATACTAGGATCTGTTCGGAAATGCATCACAGAAATTGTGATGCGAAAAAGCTGCTAAACTTGCATCATAATTTTAATTCGTTTCATGGAATTTATATTCATTTACACGTTTTTAAACGAAAGCAAAAATCTATGCATAACATGATCAGTTTATTTGTATCAGCATCGCAAACTATTCATCAATTGCAGTGCAGTGCATTTCCGAACAGTACTTTTATTTGGAATATTTTAATGTGTTACTATATACAAAGATTCTTTGTGTTCTGTAATAACTAGACTAGATTATCAACAAACTATGAATGATTTTCTTTTCATTTAGCCCATATTACCGGTAAATATGAAGAGAAAGTTTTCGAAGACCGCGATGTCGAATTTGATTTGGGCGAAGGTAGTGACATTGGTCTCATAGAGGGTGTTGAAAAAGCCATAGAAAAAATGGCTGTTGGTGAAGTTTCCAGGTAAGATATGCGATAATTCTATTTTGCATAACAATTTTAATCGAAAATATCAATTCATTTCAAATAGATTTAAAATTAAGTCAAAATATGCCTTTGGTACCAAGGGTAATGAACAATTTAATATACCACCAAATGCCAACGTAGAATATACAATTAAACTAAATGATTGTGAAAGAGTCGTAGACGATTGGAAATATACGAAAGAAGAACGTTTTGAACATGCCAAGATTTATAAAGAAAAGGGTACCAAATATTTCAAGAAGGAAAACTATCCATTGGCCATTAAAATGTACAAGAAATCGGTGAATATTTTAAATGATGAAAATAGTAAGTTTTGGAAATTAAATGTTAAAACAAATATAATAATATAAATTTAACTTATAATAGATGATGAGGAAAGTAACAAATTAAGAGTAGCAGCCTATAGTAATCAGGCTTTGTGCTATCAAAAGACTAATGAACAATTTGAAGGCAAACATGCGGTAAGTTTTACTTTAATGTGCAATAATTTTATAAAAAGTTGTGTATATTTTGCAAACATTTACTTAACTAGTGTGACGAAGCTTTAAAATTGGAACCCAACAATATAAAGGCTCTCTACCGTCGCGGTCAATGTAATTTGGCTACAAATGAATACAAAGATGCTTTAGTAGACTTCCAAAAGGTCTTGGAATTGGAACCCGCAAATAAGGCTGCTCAAAATCAAATACAAATATGCAAACATAAAATTAAAGAAGCCAATGACAAGGAAAAGAAAATATATGCCAATATGTTCACCAAATTGGCAGCTGCCGATAAAGAGGTATAAAATCGTATTTGTGATGTAGCTACGTTTTTTAGTTAAAAAAAAAAAAAACATTAGTTAAAATTATTTTATCATTTAGTTTGGAATTTATTTAATAAATTATTGAAATTAAAAGAAACTACGCTGGTGATTATTATTTTCGTTTTTCTGCTTTTATAAATATTTCAGCAGGACATACCCGCCGAAACTGATGTTCTTTCCAAATGTGGCGAATGGACTGATGAGGATACAAAACGCGAAGTTGATCGTGCATTTGAACGTGATAACAATATTGTTATGATTTAAATATTTAGGTATACAAATTTATTTTCAAGTGTAATACCATTATAATTACTTACATTATTGGGATTCCATTTGAAACTTCTTAATGGTATAATTTAGTTTTTAAACATCAACATTTGATTATTTTTTATTTCAATATGAATTATTGCAATGTAGTATAAAAAAATAAAACTAATATTACATAATTTAAAAAATACTCCTTTGAATTGATATTTATTTATTTAGTTAATTTTTAAAGCTTCAAATTCTGCTATAGTTTCATTTTCTTTGATTTTTAACAATTTAAATTGTGGTATAACTTCTTGATGCCTCAACCACAATGGACTGGTTAACATTTGTGATTTTATATATTCGGAGGCCTTAAAGCACTGGGTACTGCAAAATTTTTTACGATCGGTTATATCATACACCTTATTAGTTGTTGTGGAAATTTGATATTGTTTAGTGGGTACACTGAAAAAAAAAATATTAGAATTTCAGAAGTTTATTTATAGAGAATTTTTTTATATTATCGTTTTTTTTTCTGAAAATTTGTCGTTTTATAGAAAATTTTTAATATTCTCTTTTTTTTATAGAAAATTTTTAATATTCTCTTTTTTTATAGAAAATTTTTAATTTTTAGAAATATTCAATAAAAATTTTAAATTTTTAAATAATTTTTTATAAATTTTCGATTTTTAACTAGTGTTTATAAAAAACCGACTTTTGGAAAAACCGGTTTTTCGGTTAACCGAAAATTGACCATTTCTAGAAAACCGGTTTGTCGGTTAACCGAGTATAAAAAAACCGGTTAAACCGGTTAACCGAAATGTTTGGAAATCTTTAAAATATTATAATATTTAGTTGAAAAAGTCATTATTATGAATTACTTAATAAGATATTTGCACTTTTTAGTATAGATATGCACATTAATATATCATAAGAAAACAAACTTATATAGATCTGAAGATATTATTGATTCGTTAGGTATATGGAAGTTGCCATAGGAGGGATAAATTGACCTTTGAATATATAATCCATCTATATCAATAGCAAAAATTATGTCCAGAACTATCAAGGCTCGCGACGATTTATCGGGAACGGAAGTAGACGACGACTGTCTCGACATAGACAGTGACCTCCCTTCGCTCGCTACGCCTGTGGTTGTTCAAATTACTGTGAATGACTCTTAGGAATATTGACAGGTGTCATTCTGACTTCCTGTCAATCAACCTAAGCGCCATTACAGTTTGTGAAAAACCCCAGCAGCATAAGTTCTCGGACGGCAACAACAATCCTTATGTTTCGATAAATAAAGTCCGTTTTGAGAACGTTTGTGAAACTTCTCGATTTTTATTATACTCACGCAGTAAACAAGTAAGTGCATCCTGAATTTTACCATCAATGTTATTTATCCGTCTTAATAAATAACAAATTTCTTCATATAATGGTTGGAATTTGTTTAAATAGTTAATTTTTTATTGGTTTAAATGCCAACTTTTTACTAATTTCCTGATTATCTGAAATTGTAAATCTCCATTTTATATACATAACATTTGTTTAACAATCTTAGGTCTGTTTTCATATGCACAAACGGAAATAATGTTTAGAATTATCTATCCAAAATGTTTAAAAACCACAATAAAAAATCAGAGAAAACATACAATTTTGTACCAAAAATTTGTTTTTTTTTGGAACCGGTTAACCGAGACTTAAAACCCGGATAACCCGGTTAACCGAAAACCAATGTTTTAAAAAAACCGGTTTGCGAAAAACCGAAATATGCAATAAAAACCGGTTTTTCGGTTATCCGGTTAACCGGTTTATAAACCCTATTTTTAACTAATTCTTATACAAATTTCGACAATTTTATAAAAAGAAATGTTCGATAAATTTCTACTTACAAATAGTAGAAAATTTTCATAGGTACATGTTCGATTGTTAGAAAATAATGTTGAATAGATTCTGGTAAAGCTCTATAGTCGAAACAAAATGTCGACTTTTTTTATTTTCTAATATTTGTTAAAGATATGTTTTTAGAAATATTGCAATAAAAAACAAAAATATTATTTTTTAATATTAAGATTTTATACTGACGTTATTATGTATTTACGTTTGTAACAAAAAGTATATGGATGTTCTATGTCCGTCCCTGCCGACAGTCGATTGTTCATAAGTCGATTTTTAGAACCTTAATAATAGATTTTAAAAAATATTTTGAATCGAAAGTTTCGATATGTTCTTGATTTATAAACAGTTTCTTTATATAAATTTACACTTACTTTGCCACAATAACACCACACAAAGGATATGAGCAAAACTGTAGAATATGTCTTTCATCGACTACATCTTCATAGTGACACTGATTAATGTCTTTCAACTAAAATTACAAAATGTTTACAAATTAAAAATAAAATAATTACTTTTACAACAAAACAAACTTACAGAAGCGCACCTTTAATAAGAAATCCTCTTCCGCTATATGACGTTCCAACAGGGATTCCACGATGGCCTGGGCACGAGCATTGCACTCTTTTTTCTTGCGTATAGCTTCAATTAATTGTTCTTTACTAAATATAAACAAAGTCAATAAGATTAATAAGTTTTTACGATTTAAACAAAACTAAACTGACCTTAATTGTTTAGTTTTTGATTTAGTATTGGTTTTGTTATTCATTTTTTACTGCTTTTCAATGGCAAATTGCAAAAATAAATGAAATACGAAATTCAGAGATGCAAGTAGAGCCCTGCGCCGACAAATATTACGGCGGGGGAGGCGGCTTAAAATCGACCGTAAGCCGGCTAAGTTTTCAAATACGTTTAATTTTTTAAATTTTCAACAATTTTAAATAAAAACGGATTCCGAGAGATAAAAAAGTTGGATTTTGGAAGCAAATATATTGTTTATAACAACAAAACAGAGCAAGCACAAAAGTTGTATGAGAAATTATGCAGGGACTTAAAAAAATAAAAAAATGTACAAAATTTATTTTTTTTTTAATTTGATAAAGAGTGTGTGCCAATCGGTAACAATTTACTTGAAAATGTAAATTTTTGATAGGTATGAGGTGAATAAAATTTTACTAGCTCATAGGGCTACATAAATTTTTGACAAATGAAAAGAAAAATTTGAAAATACAAAAAATTAAATATTTTATAATTTCAGTTTATAATACATTTGTGATTGTAGATATTTATTTCAATAATAAAACAATCAATAAAAGAGCTACTTTAATTAAAATAAATGCAGATTTTATTGTGCAATTAGTAACAATTGTCAAAATTTGATGTAATCAAAAAGATTTCGTTTGGCACAGCAAAAGTGATAATATTTTCCACCATAAGAAAATTTTATTTTACCATAGAACTTTGCCGCCGTTTGGCACACAGTCAAATTCTTAAATATTGAAAACAAATCCTAAAATAATTTCAATTTTCAAGTGCTTGGCTTCTAGCTTCTGTTAGAGTGGGCCACCACACTAGAAAATACTTTTTGGTAAACTTTTGATTTTGTGTGAGAGAGAAAGAAATATCATTAATCTCTCTTTCAGTATGCAATTAACACGTACCTAATTTCTGAAAGAAAAGTTTATATTTGTATACATTAAGTAAATTTTAAAAGAGAATTAAGAAAAAGTTTCTCAACTAAAGTTTTCGTATGTGGACCAACATTATTCCCCACATCAAATTTGTTGACTCTTACGGAAAACTTTTTTTTTGGGAAACTTTTGATTTTTGTGTGCGAGAGAAAGAGAAAGAAATATCCATCTCTTTCTCTCACATATAAAATCAAGTTTCCCAGAAAAGTTTTCATTTGAACCGGCACTTTTACTGAAAAATCTTTGTTATATAGAAAATTGTCTCCATATAAGTTTTTCCTGCAGAAAATGGTCATTATTACAGTTATTTCTATGAATAATTTAATTTATAACTTTTCACTATTTTAATGTTAACACAATATGATGTGGCAGCCAGAGCCCTGCGCCGACAAATATTAACGGTGGCGGCGACTGACATTAAATATGTCGGCGGCGGCTTAAAATCGACTGTAAGCCGGCTAAGTTTTCAACTACGTTTAGTTTTTAATTTTTCAACGATTTTAAATAAAAACGGAATCCGAGAGATCAGAAAGTGGGATTTTGGAAGCAAATATATTGTTTATAACAACAAAACAGAGCAAGCTAAAAAGTTGTGTGAGAAATTATGCAGGGATGAATAAAAAATTCTTAAAAATTAAAAACAAATCCTTTCTCCAAGTTTTACTAGGATCTGCCGATATTTAAGCCTATCTTCCATATAAAACATCTTGCAGAAAATCAGTTTCTAAAAAATTTTGCATTAAGAAAATGATCAATAACGTAAAAACAAAGATATTTTATTTGTTTATTTACAAGCTATACCCAGTGTGCTGTGCTACCCTAAAAGCAATATAAATAAGAAACCCACTTAACGACTTTGATGATTCTAACTACTATGGTTTTCCAGATATACAATTTGTTACATATGGGAGATTCCACGCAAATTATTGCAATTTCGAATAATCTAATAGTTTCCCAGATATACAAAATTTTGTATTTAATTCATATGGGAAGTGCCAAGCCCCCCATTGAAAGTCCGCCCGTTATTCTCTAAATGTTCTTCAGTAAAAATTGAAATTCTAGCTCTAATAGTTTCTCAGATATACGAATTTTTCTATTTAATTCATATGGGAGCTCCAAGCCCCCCAGATGAAAGTCCGCCCTTTTTTCTCCAAAATGTTCAGATGAATATTAAAGTTCTTCGTGCAAAATTTTAAAGAATTTAGTTCTATTAGTTTCCCAGATAAACGAATTTTTGTATTTAATTCATATGGGAGGTTCCGCTCCCCTCATTGGTAGTCCCCCAATTTATTACCCAAAATGTTTACATGGATGTCAAAGTTCTTCCAGAACAACATCATTTAAAGGGATCACAAAGAGATTGAAAAATATTCCGAAAGTTTCACTTTGAAAACATTATTAGAATGTATGAAAACTCGAAACTCTAAAGGCAGACTATTCCTATTTTAGCGGTAATTTATGATTAAATTAAGTAAGAAGTACGAGTTATATTCGGCAAATCATATGTCGTTAAAAAGCAAATTTCGGAAGTGTCCGATCATTAGATTAATAAGATCATTAGATTAATAACAACGTCACCGTGATTTTCGGATTAGGGACTTAAATGTGGAATTGGATCAATAATAATATTTCAACCCTTGGAAATTGAATGTTTGACTGGAATTAAATTTGATTTACACTTTAATTCCAGCAAAAATGCTTATTGGGTATGATTTAAAGTATTTTTTTTAATTCTACCATAATTCTATCATAATGATAACTTTTGGAATGATGTATTAGCTATAAACTGATTTTCTGTAAGAGGGTTATATTGGCGGACCGATCCTCATAACTTTATTTTTCATAAATGTAGGTTTCGGTTCCTAAAAATGTTTTTTTCGTCGACATCGACATTTGAAATCCATTTATGTGCGTTTAAGTCATTTTCTCAAGAAGATTTCATATACATATTTGCATTACATATTTTCGTTCTAACAAAAATTGTTTTATTATGGTATTATTAAGTACGTAAAAAATGTTAAAATCAATTAATGAAGGGGGCAGGGTCAATTATGGCCTATAGAGATTGCGATTGATATCGAGCCCTTTTTGCAAAATGGACGTAAGCGAGATAAATTTTCGTTCAATTAGGATACTGCGTGTTTAATTTTATGTTTATATATTCAATATTTTAGAAAATTCAAAAAGTACCAGTTAAAGAACGAAAAATTACCAGAAATACTCCAGTTTAAATTTTCATTCACTCAAGTCCCTGATTGCTTAGTTTTATGTTTTTAGGTTCATTATAATAGAAAATTCAAATAGAACCAGTTGAAGGACGAAAAAGTTCCAAAAAGTCCCCTTTTATATGTTATCACTTAATCCGGGCTATTATAAAAAATTCAAAAAGTACCAGTCGAAGAACGAAAAAGTACCAAAAAGTCCGCTTTTAAATGTTATCACTTAATCCGGGCTGTACATTCTTAATTTCATTTTTCTAGGTTCAATATTATAAAAAATTCAAAAAGTACCAGTCAAAGAACGAAAAAGTACTAAAAAGTCCCTTTTTATAGATTATAATTTACTCCGGGCTCTACATATTTATTTTCATGTTTCTAGGTTTAATTTTATGGAAAACTCAAAAAGTACCAGTCGAAGTACGATAAAGTTCCCATTTTATAGATTCTCATTTACTCCAGGCTCTAAGTGCTTAATTTCATGTTTCGAGGTTCAAATTTTGTAGCAAGCTCAAAAAGTACCAGTCAAAGAACGAAAAAGTACCAAATAGGGCCATTTTATAGATTCTCATTTACTCCAGGCTCTACGTGCATAATTTCATGTTTCTATGTTCAATTTAATAGAAAACTCAAAAAGTACCTTTTGAAGAACGAAAAAGTACCAAAAAGTCCACTTTTATAGATTCTCAAGTGCTTAATTACATGTTTCTAAGTTCTAAGTCAAAAAAGTACCAGTTGCAACATCGTATTGGGAGCCCGTTATTTTGTATTTATATGTATAAGTTAATAAACCAAAAACAATGTTTTATAAAAAAGTACCAAAAATAGGTACAATTTTCACCCCTTAAACGTCCGAATATCCAAAAAGTACTAAATTCATATTTTTATTTGTTCGTCAAGTTATGAAGGATTCAAAAATATTTGTTGAATGTTCTCTGGTTTAAAAGATACATGGGGTGCAAAAGAAGTACCAAATTACAGTTTCTACCCGTTTATTCCCCAAAGGAGCCGAATTTGAAAAAAGTACCAGACACCTGTCCGCTTATTTTTTAAATGAATGACGATAAGCTTTAAACTGTTTTTGTGTCTTTTATAGTTTAGGAGATATGAGGTTACCGAATTTACCCGTTTTTACCATTTTTAACCCCCTAATCATTCGAATTTCCAAAAATCCCGTCTTAGTGAATCTATTTGGTGGGAGACCAACCTCCTGTCCAAATTTCAGCTCTTTAGCTAAAACCGTTTAGGCTGTGCAATGATGAATCAGTCAGTCAGTACCCAATAAGCAAAAACCTTTGAAATGATGTAAATATGTATTTGAAAACCTATTCAAATTTCATACATAGCCTTTGAGAACAAATTTGAAAATTTTTGTTTTCAAATGGAAAATTATGGCCTTCTCAAACAAAAAGGCAGTTAGAAATCAAACGTATTTTTCAAATGTATTTCAAATTTAAAAAAAGGCTAGAGGTAAGCTTCAAACTAAAAAAATTTTCAAACGTATTTCAAGTATTCTTTATTATTATTTTCATACATATTTCAAACCCTAATTATAATGCTAACTATTGCAAAATTCATATATTTTTTTACATCACCTGAAAATAAAACATTCATACATTTATTTTAGCATATTTTTCTTTTATATCTCCGATTATTTCTCCTATATTTAACGTTTTTTCGCTCCCTTGCTGTAGAAAAAATGTTCTGTTTTTATTTTTCTAAAATAATTTATTTTTTGAAAGAAACTTTTCTAAGTTCAATTAAAACAAAACTTTGAAAATTTTATAAATATCACACATTATATTTTTTTAGACGTTTTTTGAAATTATCATGTTTATTTCAAAGGCTAAACTTTAAAATTTGAAAACAATTTGGAAAATACATTATTTAGTTAAGAAAATTTTCAAAAATATTCACAGGTTTGAATCGATGTTTATTGGGTAACGTTAGAATTTTATATATGTACGTATGTATGTACATATGTATATAGATTTCGTGCATTGAATTATACTGTAAAAAGATTCTAATGTTCGACTTGAATTCAAGTTTCGTTTTCACTGGAGAATTCTATTGAATTAAAGTGTAATGAAAGTGAATTTCAACACTTGAAATTTGAATGTTTGACTGGAATTAAACATGTTTTAAACTTTAATTCCAGCAAGAATGCTTATTTGGTATAGTGTGACAACTATAAGGGATCTAAAGTCGACTTAAAGCCCACAATGGTTAGTACCAATATTTTGCCCAAACAACATTTACATACCTACCCAGGTTCTATGCTCTAGGTCCGTGAAGACATTCTCTACAAAGCTATAAATTTGTATAAAAGACGGCTTAACAATTGTTTCTTGTAAATATTCGGCCACCATAGTGTTTGGAGACAACAAGAGCTGCACTGAAAGGCACACCTGACAGACATCGCGCTCTATTATGGGTGTATGGTAGTGATTCTGCTAGGATCAATGGTATAATAATAAGTATGTATCTCAAGGATACCCCCTGAATACGGCAATCAGCTTCCTTCCATTGCCTCTAGGTGATAATATACCATGTCACCACTAGCCGACCGACCACCACCCACCTAGGCTACTAGGGAGGTATACAATTGCCACTCTCTTGTGGGCATTCTTCCAGGAGACCATCATGATGCCTCCTCTTTCTTGAAAAGAAAGACGTTCATTATAGACAAATAAATAATTAATTAACACCATTACATACATTTTTTAATCTTCTAGATCTCACAAATATGTCAAATATAGATTTCGATAAACACTTTTGGGTATTAAACGAAAACAAACCCATATAATTATTAACAATTTAACTAAATTCAACCCAACACTTGCTGTTTCTTTGTACAATGACCCTCGGTATAGTAGTATAGCATACAATCTTATTAATTTAAATTTTTAGTAAAAAATTATTTTTTTATTTAAAGGATATCATTTCTGTCATTTTAGATTTTCGCACACACACAACAACAGATTTTTTTTGGCAAATAAAAAATGCAGAAAACAGTTTGGCGCGAAAAATTCTAGCAGAATTTCTTTTCGCAGTCGGCAGAATTGACATCAACTGCACTTCCCATTTGAAATACACATGTTCGATACCCTAGCCCTTTACGGTATGACATACCAGCAATGTAAAAAGGTGTAGCTCCGTTGACGTCAACGAAGCTGGTTTGAAGTCAAAGCAGCGACTCGAATTAGGCGCGAAAACACGAAAATATCTGAGGCGAAGCATATACATCGAACGTTGAGCAAAGTTCTACACCGGCCAAATTTCAATGAGTGGCTTATTATTAGATAAAAGAAAACTTGCTTAAATGAAAACAAATTAATTTTATATTGTAAAATTCCACAAATTTAGCGAAAGTATTCTGTAAATTGTACAAAATATGGCGAAATTTTCAAGCCGTATTAAGCTGAAAAATTTTCGGCGGCGGCGGCTTTGACATTTCGTTCGGCGGCTAGGCTTAGTCGACTTAAGCCGAATCGGCGCAAGTCTCTGGTGGCAGCTCTTTTCAATTTGCCTGTTAAAATTTAAATTATATCAGCGGCTACGTTTAAGCCGGCTTAAGTTTTTGAGTTTTCGGCTTGTACCTCTGATACGAATTTAAGAAAGATTACTTGTCATTCACTTTTAACTAACAGCTCTTCAGTCATGTTTAATTGATAGCTCATAAACAATAGTATTGCCATATTTCGATGTTCATAACAAGCATATGCTTGTGTGTTGAGCGTCTCTGTGTTGGGATTATAAAGCAACACTGTTTATCAATTCATCTAACGTGGCATACTTTATTTTTCCCTTCACTTTTCATTAGTTAGACAAGGATAAATATATACTTTAAACAGCATTTTGTCTCTTTTAGTTGCATTATTCATATAGAATAGATAAAAGTTCACCACAGTGTATAAGCGGGTTTTTATTCACCATTCGCTGTAAAAAAACAGCCTTTTCAGTTTCAGAGCATTTGTCGAAATTCATTTTATCATGGTTAAGTTAGGTTATATCGTCAAATCATAAAATTATTTATAAGCTAGTTTTTTAAGGAAAAACTTAAATTTAGTGAATTTGCAGTGCGAAAATTTTTGAGATTTCCTCAGACGAACACTTGGCGAAAGCGGTGAGCTTAAAATATTTTATATTTTTAATTAAAACTACATATTAATTTACATAACGCGTTGCTTGCAACCGTGCGGTCGATCGGTCGGTCGTTGGGTCAAATATGCATGTACATACATATACAAGTGAAAATCCAAAGTTTCTTTAATATTTTATATATGATTATATGTACAATACAATGGAAAAAATGGTGGTGGTGGTGTTGGCAATAAATTAATGGCAAAGTCTAAATGCGGCTTTAGTTAAAATTAAAAAAAAAAAAAACAAAAAAAAATTATACAAAAAACAATGATGGTACCTAAAATATGAGCGAGGAAACAAAGAAATCTATAAACATTAATAGATACCTTGGAATTTTTGCTGAATTTGTTGGTGAAAACATAAAAATTCTATGGCATAATGATAAAGCTCCAAATTTTGTGGGTTTGTGTGTGAAAAAGTGAAAATTTTTCACATTTTATACATACAAAATGCTATGTATTGTGTATAACCACACTGGTTTACATACATACACATGCCAAAAAGAAATCATCTACTCTGGTCTTCGGTATCGTAGTCTTTTTCGTTTTAGTATGAAAAATACAAATTAAAAAGAAAAATGAGGCGAATACAGCATTTGTGTAAACGCGCACAAACATTAATGTATACAGATAGACAGCCACAATATTATAAGCGCGCTGAACGCACGCGTTTGTATTGCTGTTTGCTGTTTTTAAAGAGATTGTTGCCTTGCTCCAAAATTGCCATAGGACTGTCCGTCCGTCCACTCGTTCATTTGTGTCATTTCCAATTATCATCGTCGTCATCATCCATCCTTTGGTTCATTCACATTTTTATGACAACAAGCAAAAACCCATTCAGTCCGTCCGTCAATAATATGTTTACGTGAAATATGATGGTACAAAAAATATCTACTGCGTAAATACTTTATTTGTTCAAAAGTGTGGTATCTAATCATACGTCATAAAATATTCGCCATCATTATTTTACTTTTGTAACAAATTCGCCTTTTGTTAAATTTTATTAACATTTTTTACAGGGCATAATGTATGGATTTCATCCTATATCTTTAATAAAATTTTTTAAAGTGTTAAAAATTTGCAAAATTTTCATTAATTTAACAAAAAATTTCCATCATCAAAATGTATAAAAAATATGTTTCGGCTCGCATTCTTTGGTTGTCATCCATTTTGTTTTTTTTTTTCGGTACTTATTTTTGTTTGCGTGTGTTGTTGTTGTAGTTTTACCTCTGTTTTTTTTTTATTTGAATTGGTGGTGTGGTGAATTTTACTTAAATGTTGCCAGATGCATTTTATTATCTTCTATATGCATGTTTTTGTATTTTTTATCACTTGTATCTTGATAATAAACAAGTTTTAACAAATATTGTTGTCACAACATGAAAAAAAACAACGTGCATATTTTATGTTATGCAAAAAACATGTTTTTGCATATTTGGATAATTTATGTTCTAGAAGTAAAATGTCTGTTATAAATTATTGATAACTTGGCATAAATTTACTAATCTAAAAGTCGCCGATTTTTTTATATTTTTTATTTATATTTATTACAAATGAGGATTATATAATTAAACATCAAAGGAGGCATAGTTGCATGTAAAAATTCGCAGTATAAATAAATGTTCACGATCTTTTTGAAGAATAGAAAAAAACAGAATGTTGGTTTTTTTACGGAACACAATTTTTGAAGTATATAAAAGATAAATTATAGTCGATATATATATGTATATATGTATATTTTTTTCTTTGAACATGCAATCAAAAATATTTTATTAAGAGTTATCGAATTATTGAATTTTCCTTTTTTAAAAAAATAAAAGTAAGAGCGTGATAGCAAAGTTCTTTGGTGGATTGTAATTTTCCTATGGTGGGAACATTTTTACATTTTGCTGTGTCAAACGATATCTTTTTTGATTACATTAAATTTTGACAATTGTCACTAATTTCACAAGAAAATCTGCATTTATCTTAAAAAACACTTTTATATATTTTTTTATTATTAAAATAAATGTCTACAATCACAAATGTATTATAAACGATCAAAAATTTACATTTCCAAGTAAATTGTTAGCGATTGGCAAACACTCTAATATAAAAATATAAAGTTGAGAAGTGATTACACGGACCAACAAAATAAAAAAATCGCGAAAATCCAATCTGAATTTTAAATAATTTAAAAAGTTTTTATTATAAAAATTATGAGAAATTGTTTGCAAAATATAGTACAAAATTTCAATTTGTAAATTTATGGTTGTTTAAAATAAAAATAAAATATTTTGAAGAAAGAATAATATATTCAAAGGTTAAGCATTTATAATAAAGTTGACGGATTGGACTTTCAAATAGTCTTAACAGATTTTATAAATTAGGTTTCTTAGTCTCTGTTATAATGACTCAAAAATGAACAAAGATAGTATTTTTAATCTGTAAGATAAGATCCCTCAAAAACCTGTTATTATGGAGAAATTTTGAGTAAAATTTGTTGGTAGCGTTGTTAACCAATGAAGTATAAAACTCGAATAGTTATTTGCTGATTTAACGGATTTCAACTACACCCTAATACATATTATTTTTAAATTTAACAAAAATATCAACAAATAATCCTAATCAGTCGTATAGATATAGATCTATTTTTTTTTCGGTGAGATCGACTTTTTTGTAAAATAACTACTCGCACGCTATCTTGAAACAACATCAAAAAAATCAAATTTCAATTCAGAAGAGAAACATACATACATATCTGAATCTGGTTTAATTCTAACGGTTATTTAAAAAATAGTGAAGTGCAATTAAACATTCAAAGCCATTCTTCTCGAAACGTCTTTTTTGGATTATACCAGTCTTTTAGTAAATGAGTGATATGTGTAACAATTCCCGCTGTTGAAAATTTAAGGAATTCTAACTTTAATTGATTATTATCCATAGGTTTACATTCAAGAAAAACATGTCGTTAAATTGTCATTAAGTTATTATATTTTAGCCGGGTACATAATAACAATACATACATGTATTGTTATGTATGTACATACCTGTAAAGAGAATCTGAGAGATAATTACAACCAATCTTTTAAAACATTTATGCAGGATGTGTAGGTTCGAACAAATGATTTATAATCACACACAACTTGCTTAATTTTAGAAAGGGAATATTAATCGTCTCGCTCGTTGAGAGTTGGGTAGTGTTTGATATAATTAGGCAAAAACATCTTAATGATAGCAAAAACATCTCGAAATCTACGAGTGATCAGTGTGATCAGTCGGAACTTTTACGTACAAACAGCCTTTATGCTTTGTAACCATAGTACGGCGCTAGTATTGATTTGAATGCGAAGATTTTCGGCAATTTACATGTACACAAATTACAATTCATTACAAATTATGTAATTTATTACAAATTATGGAATACATATGAGTGAAAAAATTGAAAAAATATTTTATAGCCATTGATTATTTGCAATTTGTCGATTAAAAGTTAACTTTAAATTCTACTAATTCTATTTTATTCTTGTAACAATGTGTTTTGTTTAAATTATCACAAATTCTATAAAATCACTCATAAGATGTCTCGAAACATTTCGAAACAGATCATACATTATTCCGATTTGTTTTTCACTCTTAAATCCATTGTCTCTGTTTCTTTTGTATTTGTTTGCTTTTACACTTGTATTGTTGTGTGTATATGATCAACTGCTTTTTTAACTTCGGCCGCACTACACACAGTATTCATAAAATAAACGAGTGACTTGTAAGTAATTTTTAACGCACTCGTGCAGATGTCTAGTTAATACACAGGAACATGCTGATGTTTAGTAAATATAACAGTTGTGGATAGAAAATGTGTATTAAAAAGTTATTAATGTAAATGGTAACAGATTAATGCCTCTATCAAAAATAATTTTGAAAATAATTAGCCGATATTGAATATTTTCTTTTACAATGAATTTAGAAATGTGACATAAAATTTATAAATTAATGGTATTGAAAAATTACATGCATCTAAATACAAACATATATAATACATACTTACATAGTAGGTTTCTTTCTAACATGTATGTTTTTAATACCTTGTTAACCTAGATTCACGTGTATAAGTAAAATAACGAAAGAGTAATTAAACAAAAAAATATGTGTGCATTTGATTACAAACAAATCTTGTTGTGTAGTGAGATACATGTATGTTTACAAAAAAAACAGTGGCAACGTTTAACAAGTGTGTTGAGTTTAAATTCGCCAACAATTCTACCAACAACAACAAGGTGGTGGATGGTGAATATTGATAGACCGGCGTTTTTACATATGTATCTCTTTTACCTCTCTTTTGCATGTTTATTCATATTTCTTCTTCGTTTATCACTAGCTTTAAGCTACGTTCAGACCTGTAAAATATTTGGTCCAAATATTTGTTATAAAATATTTATAAAGTTGCGTCAAACAAACGCAATATTTATTTCATGTTCAGACTTGAACAAATATTTGATGGTATTGTTTTATCAAACAGTGCAAAAATAATTTGGTTCAAACACACACATGTTTTGCAGCCACAGAATATCGTATATTTTCATGCAAGAAAAAAACAATTTGGCAATTTGTTTTAATTTTAACTATTTTTATTAGGTTTAAAATTAAATTTTTATAATAAAAGTGTATAATATTAATATATAACACGATTGAAAAAACTTTGTTTGTCGAATCTGAACATAAAATATTTCATGTTAACAAACAGCACTGCGGATGATTTTCATAAAACAAATCGATTTGCTGGCAAATAAATATTTTCTCATTGTTTCATCAATGTGAACACCAAAAGTCAAATAATTTACGTCATTTTGGTAAAATAATTATTTGATCTTGCAAACCAAATGTAAGATCAAACAGCGTCAATGACAGCTGTTCTTTGTTTATTTTCTGAAAATGAGTGTTATCACCTCATACAAAAATGTAAATAGTCGCTTATATGACTGGTTTTATTTTATTTTTTATAAAATATAAATCTGAGACAAAGTTGTGACATTTAATTGAAATTCAAGCAATTGCGTAAATTAATGATAATTATTATTTTTGTTGTTTGTTTTGATATTTATTGGTTGGTAACAACATACTATATATAGTTATGCTACATAATATATGCATCTATAGTCTAGTTTGCAGTCTAGTCCAACGGTTCCCAAATTACAATTAAATAAGAGATACTGTTATCTCGGAGTATGAAGTTAGGACACATTTCATAATTCAAGGACAAGCTTATCGCAGATTTAAGTTTGTCAAATTGTAAACAAAAGTGTTCTTGTTTGGAAGGACTAAAATAATATATTTCCGAAGCAGAGGTGACTCTTTATTCGTTTTCAATACGTTAATCCAGGTAATTTTAAATATAAATATTCCATTCCGACGTGATACACAGATTTTAACTTGATTTTGTCGACCAATATTATTAAATTAACATCAGAAAATGAGTAAATAGTCAAAACCATGCAGTAAAATTCACAGTACTTTCGCAAAGAGTTCAAGTCATATATTATGCGGATAACGCATTCCGCAACAATATCGAAGAAGTTCAACTTTCTTATATTATTTTCCCGAAAAATTAGCTAACATACTCAGTTCACCCGTCTGCAATCGCAAAAAATTTTTGCAACATGACTTTTTAAGCACATGTCGACGATATTTGATGAAGAAAACTTTTCGTTACCTTAAAGAAAAATGAACGTGAAAGATCTCACGATCATAAAATTAAACATCATGTTAACATTTCAACAATGAAGTCATTCTATCTTCAAAAACAGGCAATTGAAACTTCTCTGAAATATTAATTATTCTCAATGTACGGGAATATTTTATAGAAATGACATATCTACATCTGTTTGACCTTGGGATTTATGGACTATGACAATTTTCGGATGAACAATTACATATTTAGAACAATAAGATATCAAAATATGTATGGGGGTCCGCGAATTTAAATAAATTCCCGGGGGAACCGCTGGTCTAGTCTATAGTCAAGCTATAGTTTAGTCTATAGTCTTGTCTATACTCTAGTTTATAGTATTGTTTATAGTCTAGTCTATAGGTTATTATCTAGTCTATAGTTTAGTAATTAATTGAGAAATTATTTAATTAATTTATTACTCAATTTATTTAAACAATTATTTATTATATTAATGGATATAAAAATATATTAATAATAAACAATTCTCTATAATTTTCAATTTTATAGATATGTAATTTAATGAAAATTATTTATAATTTGGTTATTTCCGGGCTTATAGCGATTTTTTTGAAATCGCTATGAACCGTTCCAAACAACCAAGGTTTTTCGCTACATTGACTATACTAAATAGCAACAACATGACAGTAAAGATCCACCATCTATCTCTTTTCCACTTGCACATGGTATTGAAATGTAATTTCAATACCTTGTGCTATCTATCTCTTTTTGTGTCTATCTATCTCTTTTCCACCTTGTGTCTATCTATCTCTTTTCCACTTGCACAAGGTATTGAATTTCAATAATTGAATTCAATAATTGAAATGTAATTTGTATTTTTTTGTTGTAAAATTTTGATGAAAAACAATCAATGATATAGCTTTTTAGTAAATATAAACACATATATTTTTGGCTTTTGGTTTGGTTGCGCATTAGCTGTTCTTGTTGTTATGTTCCTCTTTGACTGCAAACAAAATCTTGTTTTTTTACTGTTTTATCCGTCAATTGTTTTACGAAATTATTTGTTGTAATGTGAACACCGGGCAAACAAACTTTTACTATTTGTATTGAATTGTGTTTGGCTTTGTTTCTTCAAACAAAACGCCAAAATAGAAATACTCATTTTAAGCACATTATGAAATAAAAAGGTATTTAATTTTTTGTTTTTAGGCAGAAATTTCTATGAAATCGTAAAAAATATTATTAAATAGTTTTTTTAACGTTTAACAAAAATGTTCCATGTTTGGTGTTCACATTGTGTTCACATTAAGAAAATATTTGTAGGTTGACAAATAAAATGTTTCACGAAAAACAGCTGATATTTTGTTTGCTCTTCAAAAATATTTTGTGTTCACATTACAGCTAACAAATATTTGATAAAAAACGTCAAATATTTGATAGGTGTGAACGTACCTTAAATGACAAAAGAAAAATATGTATGGTTTTTTATTTTTCTTTACTTCTTGGTTAGCCAAAAGAAAATCGGACAAAATAACAAGTTCCATTGTAGGTAACTTCTTTTGCAAATACATACATAAGTTTGTATGCATGTGATTCATTCTAATTTTATATTAGAAAAAAAAACAGAATTTATATGTAAATGAACTCAAAAAATTAACTGTTACACAATTGATTTTATTTTTTTTCCAACTATTCACATTTTACCGCCATACGCTTCCAACAAAGCAAATTTTACAACAGCGAGTTATCAAATCGACCGAAAAGTATATTTTTTTCTTTAAATGTTTGTTCTCCTTTTTTCATTCATTTCTACTGGCTACATTTTTTTTGTATATTTCTCTTTTAAATATATTTTGTGTTATTTCTCTTTTTTTGTGTTTGGTAATTTTATATTTAGAAAGTTACGTGTCGACTTCGTCGTGGCGTTAGTTTTCATCAAATAACTAACTAACAATTTAATAACTATTATAACATCAATAAAAACAAAAAGTCACCATAATAGATTAAAAACCAACCTTAATTTGTAAGATATACATACATATACTATATTCCTAATTAAATTTATCAGTTAGGAACAATAATAAACATATTTTTCTTTTTTCTTTCCCGTTTTTTCCCCTCTATAAACAACAGGACACCAACCAACAAACCATAAGATAAACAAAACAAAAAAAAACATCAAAAAAACTTTACTGAAGCAGTTGTTGCATTAGAGCGCGGCAGTTTTTATTAACAATTCGTTTTGGATAATTTAAAGTCAATTAAACAAAATCCTCAGAAAATCATGGAGGAAGATGAGAGGGGCAAACTTTTCGTTGGTGGTCTTTCCTGGGAAACCACTCAAGAGAACCTATCACGTTATTTCTGTCGTTTTGGCGAAATTATCGATTGCGTTGTAATGAAAAACAATGAAAGTGGCCGTTCACGTGGTTTCGGTTTCGTTACATTCGCTGATCCAGCCAATGTTCAACATGTTTTGCAAAGCGGTCCTCATACATTAGATGGTCGTACTATCGATCCTAAACCATGCAATCCACGCACTTTGCAAAAACCCAAAAAGGGTGGTGGTTACAAGGTATTCCTTGGTGGTTTACCCTCTAACGTTACCGAAACTGATTTGCGTACATTCTTTGGACGCTATGGCAAGGTGACGGAGGTCGTTATAATGTACGATCAAGAAAAGAAGAAATCACGTGGATTTGGTTTCCTTTCATTCGAAGAGGAATCGTCTGTTGAGCATGTAACAAATGAACGTTATATTAATCTTAATGGCAAACAGGTGAGTTTTGAAATAAATTTATTATGTATAATTAAATAATTTTAAAATAAAATATCTGTCCGAATTTAGAGGTTAATTTATACTCTATTCACAAGTGAATGTTTTGTTTTTTTTTTTCTTTTAGAATTTACATTTTTCGTTAAAAAATTAAGATTTCGGATAAATTAAAAAAAATGTTTACACATATAAATTTATAAATTTTTATTTAAGATTACTGCCTTGTAATATAAGTATAAATATTTATTGGCCAATAGTGGGTTTTTATATTACTATGAATAAAAAAAAACAAAACAGCAACTTGTCTGCAACATTCATAATTAGGGGATGTAATGGGAAAAATATAGAAAACTAAAACCATTGCAATATTCGGTCATTTGTAGAAAGTATTTTTATTATCTTCACAAAGACAATGCGTCTTAAGTAACACTAGAAAAGACAAAAGAATAATATAAGTTTACAATTTGCTAAAAGAAAACTTTTAGTAGCAAAGAATGATTGTCTCACTTAAAGAGTAGCAAGGGAAGTTATGATGAAAAACTTTCGAATACGAATGCATATAATTAACAATTATGTACTTTTAAAACCAGGGACCGTAACAGTTATAAGTTATATCAAAAAAGTTAATTTATAACAGTTATTTTGTGACTTTAAAAATAAAAATCCATCTGAAAAAGTTATTTTTCAACCTAAAAATAAAAATTCAAATGAAACTTTAAAAAAAAGAGTTTTTTTTTTCCTTATAAAATAAAAATTATTTGAAGACTTTTATTTTTTCCGTCAGAAAATAAAACTCATTTTCAATAATAATGCCTTCCGAAAAAATTAAAAAAGCTTGTGTTCAGTCATAACAGAAAATTACCATTTACCGTTTTCGATTCAGATGTTTTCAACGTGTTCAAATCAACTATTTAATGGACTTGGTCAGATAAACTCAATAAAATAAGAGACTGAAAAAATATATAAAAACATTGTTTGATTTTTTGACGGGGAAAACAAATGAGTTTTATTTTCTGATGGAAAAAATAAAACTCGTTTTTTAACTGTTTTAATCAGACTTTTATTTTTCCTTTAAAAACAAGCTAAGATCAGCATATATTCTGAAAAAGCACATCAATACGAGTATATTTTTATATAATAGTATAGGTCTACGTTGACTCCAACTTAGAGATTTTTTTTGGGTTAAAAATTTCAGAATAACAGTTATTTACAGTCCCTGTTTGAAACGCATTATTCTATTTATATTAAAACATTTTTAATTATTTCAATTATTTTATACATTTCTCTTGAAGGTGGAAATCAAAAAAGCTGAACCACGCGACGGATCCAGCTCTCAGAATGCCAATAACAGCACTGTTGGTGGAGCTTATGGCAAACTTGGCAATGAATGCAGTCACTGGGGTCCACCCCATGCACCCATTAATATGATGCAAGGACAAAATGGACAAATGGGAGGACCACCATTGAATATGCCTCTAGGCGCTCCCAATATGATGCCTGGTTACCAAGGTTGGGGTACTTCTCCACAACAAGGGGGTTATGGCTACGGCAACAGTGGACCTGGTTCGTATCAAGGATGGGGAGCTCCACCCGGTCCCCAAGGACCACCACCACAATGGTCCAATTATGCTGGACCTCAACAGACTCAAGGTTATGGTGGTTATGATATGTACAATTCCACTTCAACTGGTGGTCCTTCCGGACCATCTGGTGGTGGCAGTTGGAATGCTTGGAATATGCCACCTAATTCAGCTGGACCAACTGGTGCACCTGGCGCCGGTGCTGGCACAGCTACTGATATGTATAGTAGAGCTCAAACTTGGGCAACTGGTGGTCCCTCGACAACTGGACCTGTTGGCGGTATGCCTCGTACTGGACCCGGCAATTCTGCTTCGAAGTCCGGATCTGAGTATGATTATGGCGGTTATGGTTCTGGTTATGATTATGACTATTCAAATTATGTTAAACAAGAAGGTGGTGCCTCTAACTATGGAGCCGGCCCCCGTTCGGCGTATGGCAATGATAGTTCAACACAACCACCATACGCTGCTTCTCAGGCAGTCTAAAAAGATCGTTATGCCTAAGTTTAATACCTGCTGCTAAATAATAATGCTGCTGCTGTTATTCAAATAATAAGATATCAATCACTACAAGTAATAGACAGTAAAACAACAACAACAGATAAAAAGAACATCCATCTACTACAACAATAACTAAACAACATAAAATTACAACAACATCAACAAAATTAAACAAGGTGAACATATTCTAAGCTATAGCGTCGTCTGTTTCGTACAGTTGTTAAATATTAAATTTTATATATATTATTATTATAATATTAATAACTAATTAATAATTAATTATAAAAAGATCTTATAAAACAAACAAAAATATGAAACTATATATATAGATGAAACTCTTCAAAAACAAAGTTTATATACATACTTATATATAAATAGTAAAAAGAACTTAAATGAATGGAAAATTGAAGATTTTTAAGAACATCAAAAAAAGAGTAAAATTTTTTATATATATATACATATAAACTTTACTATATTACTACTATATACTACCACTAAAACAACAGTTGCAAAAACGGAGAGTAATTTAATGAAAACATTAATATATATAATTAACAATACGAAAAAAAAAAACAAAATACAAAATTAGTTAATTATGATGTAAACCAACTGCTAAAAAAAACTAAAGTTATAGAAAAAAAAAAAAGGAAAAGAAAAAAAACTAAAAAAAGAAACACAACAAACATGTTTTAGGATAAAGAAACACACACAAAAACACATTAAAAATAGGGGTTTAAAAAGTTATAAAAACATTTTTTTAGAATAACATTACTACTTTATATAAACGCGTCACAGCTTGAAGGGAAAATCTCTGCGGGACAAATGTCTTAAGCTTGCCAGGGAGATTTTCCAAACGAAAAAGATTAACTAGTTGTTGTATAGTTAGTTGTCTTTGGTTTGTGTTATTTCCAGGAAAGTTTTTAGATAGAGCAGACATTTTCGCTTTTCGTAAAGACGTGTATAAGTTTATATATGAATTTTTTAATGATTAAAATAATTTCAAAATTACTTTTTAGCTAAAAATGTTCTTTATTTATTTTTTAATTACAAGGTAACTTTTAATGTTAAAGCAAAGAAAACAAATGTGTCTGCATGTAAAACTATTAGATTTCTAGAATACCACAATGGATTACATTTAAAACAAATTAAATTAAAATTTAAAATTAAACTACTACAGACATATTCATTATATAGTTAAAACCTACAGTTAGACATTTGCATATATAGTTAAAACGTTAATATTTAAAATTAAATATTTATATAACTTAATATAAAAGAAAGAAAACTACAAATAGCATTAAACGAGATAAAAGAAAAAATCAAAAAGCACGTTTTTCACTTTTAGCCTCTACTTTTACTACTACTACTACTCTTTTTCTCAGTTGTTTTTAAGGATTTTTTAAATAATTAAATAATTTTCATTTACTTTTTTATTTTAAATTTATTTCATTTTTAATTTAATGTTAACTATTTTGGTGAATTGTAGCTTATAAATAAATATATTATAAACATTAATTAATTAATAAAAAGAAACCTTTTTACCTTTAAACAAATAGCGAATTAATAGTTTAGGCATGAGTTTTTATGTTTCACTTTTTTTTTTTGGTAAATTTTAAAAAGTAAATGTCGTTTTTAATTTTTATTTTAAAATAAACTTTAGTTAAAAGCAGCTTTTACTAAAAAGGCTTTATACGAATAAGAACAACAACAATAAGTAAAGTTGGTTTTCATAACGTTTTAGTTTATACCACAACAAACAAACAAAAAAAGCAAAAGAAAATATATTAATCGAATTAAAAAAAAAAAACAACTTATTTTCAATAAATTTTATAATAAATACAAAAAAAAACAACAAAGTGTGTATATAGTTTTCTTTTTTAAACAAATATATATATAAAATGAAGTTTTTTCAAAAAAAGTAATTTCTTTTTTGAAATACAAAACAGTTTAACAAAAATATAGCTAAAGATTAACAAAAACAATACCCGCCCTTAATATAAGTTATAAAAATGGTAATTACAATTTTAAAAAAGAACATTAAAGTTATAAAAATAAAGAATGCTATTACAAATTGTAAATTCAGAAATACGAAGAGCAAGTAATAAGGGCAATGTAAGAATTAGGTGTGTTACTTTTTCGTTAACAATTTTCCTTCATTTATTTGAGAGATAAACGAAACACCTTTTCTGTGAAACAAGCAGTTAATCTTAAAACTTTCAAAACAGACATAATAACTATATAAAAAAATCCTTAAGGAATTACAGCAACAGCGCACTTTTTTCAAACATCATCATTAAGAAAAAACACAGTAGGAAACGTAAACCTAATAACAAACATTTAATAACTTTTAATTAAGAAAATTAAACAAAAATAGTTTATATACATATTATGTATTAATCTATATATGTATGTACTATTGCTACTATATAAACCATTACACATATGATCAATATAAATACAAATATTATATAAACAAAAAAAAAAAAAAAAAACAAATAATGAAATAAGTTTTTAAAAAAATACCACAAAAAATCAATAAATAAAATGTTGAAAGTTCTAAGTAAATATTAAAAAAAAATAATTACCATACTTATATCTAACCTTTAAAATAAAATAAAGTAGTTAAAAAAAATCATGAAAAATTTTAACCTCACAACACCTGATAAACATCGTTATATATTTCATATTAAAATAATAAATATAAAAAAAATATACTTTTTATTTTTTCCAAATAACATTAATTCTTTACAACTGCATAATTAGACCTAAAATTCTTTTATACATAATTATTTAATATACATACATATATTTTTTATTTAATTTCTTTTTAATTAAATTTTTTTAATATTTTAATATTACCACAAAAAATCATATTTTATAGAGCAAAAACAATTATTTTAAACCACAAATACATGTGTGTAACGTAACGTAAACAAAAACAAAAAAGTTAGCATTAATTTCTATACAAACTTACAAAAAAAAAAAATAATAATAAAATAAAATTAAAATTAACGTAAAGTAACGTAATGTTTAAATTAAATTTTAAAATTAATCAGAATTAATTAAATTTAAATGAAAACAAAAACACTGACTGTTAATTGTAAAACAATTTCTTTAAATTAATTAAAAATTTATTCTATATAACTATATGATTTAAATTTAAAGTTAAAATTTAATGAAATATATAATATACATATATAAAAAAAAAGTACTATATATATATACATAAAACAAATAATTAAATATACCACAACAAACACAACAACAACAACCAATTAACCATATTATAAAAGAACTTTTACTTGTTCCAAGATTTATTATTATTTCATTTTTATTATTTTTTATTTTTTTTTATTTTAACATTTCTTTCTTTAACAAAACTTTCATATACTATATATACATATACATTATTACACGTATAAATATTTATCAACTAATATAAAGTATGCAAAAAAGAATTCATAAATATATGGATTATTTTTTGTAAACACCCCTTCTTAATTTCTACTCTTATTTTTTTAAGAAATATATAAAGAAACAATTCATTTTAAATCAAAAACCTTTTTTATTGTTTTCTTTAGTTTAATTAGTTTATTTATTTTTTTTTTTTTAATTTTACATTATTAAAAATTCATGAAGTGATATAAAATGGCAACCGGAATGAGAAATGGATATGTTCATGCCTTCTTAGGTTTAAAAAGGTTGGATAAATGAACAGTCGACCTAAAAAGCCCACACACTTGGAACCATAGTTGGTGCTTTTGTGTTAACCAAACATGGAATATGTTTCCCCCCCAAAAGGACATTACATGTCCGTATGATTCTATCATATTGATATTAATCATAAATAGATCCTCTATACCGTGCAGTGATGCATTGTCCAAGGTCACATCGATAATTCCCGACAACAGTCCAAAGACAATGAAATATTCAATGCTCTTATCCTTGTTGTGATAACATCCACAGTTATCACAGTTGAAAATCTACAGTTGTGTTAATATCTCTTGAATATTGGCGGAAGACCATTTTTCCTACTTCGTCCTCTATATTGTTCTCAGTAAAATTTGAATGTCAAGGTAACCAGAAGTGTTGAAAATGTTGAAGTTGAAAACACATTTCAACATAGAAAATAAGCTAAGATATGCTAGATATCGAATGCCATCATCTCAAAAAGGAAAAGTACGATCAATTTACTCATTTTACAATTAGACCCTAGATAGATTTAATAGCAGTTTTACTGTCAGTACAGATTCGGATGTAGTATATGCTATAGTAGGTATCTTGTCCAGTTTACCGCTCTTTTTATGGATGAAATTACAGCCTGCAAGATGATACATCTATTGTGTAGCCTAAAGCTCATCCGTTTATTATAATGGGGAATATAAAATCCGCCCCAATATCTGTTAAACACCTGGATTAATCAGTATAGATTTCGGGCGCGGAGGAGCAAGGGAATATAAGACATATTTCACAAAATATATGCATGACCAATACTGACTTCTAAGCTAGCTGCCGTATTCATTCACAACATTGATCATTAGAGCACTGGTTGCTTATTGCTAACAACTATTTTAATTTATTTAATTATTTTCTTGCAACAATGAAGAAGTCTCTTTGTAGCCCTCTTCGACTTTGAGTTATTGTTAGTGATCTTGCAAGCGGATTACGATTTACATCAAGTTTAGACATTCACGAGATGACAACAGGCTTAACTTGGATTGATTAGTTGACTACGTTCATAATCACCGAATATTTTATTATCAAAGTGGGATTAAATTTAGTTTAAAGTCGAAAAAATAATTAACCTTTTAATCTGTGGCAGGTCTTTATTCGATAATTTTCTATAAAATATCTAAACTTACATCAATTAATGATGAAATCATATTAATATATTTTCTTTAATTTTCAGTTTGTTTTTTTTTTAATATTTTATTTTTCCGCTGTTTTACCAACTGTAATGTAAATTTAACAAAATCTGATGCTGAGCAACATAATGAATGTTAATTTATTAAATAATAATAATATAAATAATTAAAATAATGTAAACAAAAATAATAAACAGTAAGTCATTTAATTACAAAAAAAAGAACATAATTATTCTAACAACAGTATAAGTAAAAAACTAACAAAAATATTTAATTAACTTCGTAAAGAGTATAAAAAATCATTTTGTTTCTAAGTTTTAATGATATGGACTGATTTTTATTAATTAATTATCGAATATATTTTAAGTACTTTTTTACCAAACGAGCTATACATACATACAGTCTTAACAAACAAATAAGGAATGAAACAAACAAAAAATCTCCCAGTTTGGGTACATACAATACTTTCAAACACACTGGATACCCAATATTATTAATTATCCATAGTAAGCGATAATAACTGAACTAATTGGGGCTATTGGACTATTAGCCAAGTATTTTGTTTACCTACAGACATATATTATTGATTTTCCTGTAAACAATTTATACAATTTTTAAATTTATAAACAATCAGGTATGTTATGAAATTAATTTATAAAAACGAATCGATAAAAACTATTTTTTTATTACACAGGCCAACAAAAAACCCAGAGACCAAAGTTTTTTTTACTAAAGGATTAAGCTGCGCTCAATCCGAATCTGGCCTTCTCCAGCGGGAAGACGCCTTTATTTATAAAACTTGTTATGTCGTCTTAAAGGTCAATCTATCGACTTTACAAGATCCAAATTGTTTACTTCATTTCGTCTTTGCTTTATAAGAAACTTATATGTCATAATTTGTTCACCATAATAATATATCGAGGGACTATATTCAATAGTCGCTATCTCTCATTTTTATGAAAATGAGATTTTGATGGCAAAATATTCAGCAAACTATCGCGCATCAGTGATATAAATTTCAAAGAAAAAAAATATTTTTTGGCAATTTTATAGCATTTTTTAAATTTCTCTATCTTAAAAAAAGAAAAATTCTGAATGCAAAACTCTCTATCTTATCCAAAAATTGCTTCAAACTCGATCCCTTTGGATAACTTTCTGTTGCAAAACAAGTCTTCTTAATAATTTGGACATGCTGAACACAAATCCGTCAAAATATTTAAAATTGGTCTAATAGTTTTTGAGATATCGCTCATTATGATACTAATTAAATCAATTTTATTGTCGTGTTTAACCATATAACATTGATTTTGGACCAAAACATTATAATCTGTTGCTTTTTCAGCAATTTGGTTTCTTTTCCTCCATTAAATTGTATAAAATATAATATTTATTGATTTTAATTCAAATAAAAATTTTATGTTTCCATGAAAAACTCTCTATCTGTTGGTTGAATGAACATTTTCGTAGAAAAATAAGCTCTATCTGATATAAATTTGTGAATAATATTGTAAATAATGCAAAAATTAAAATTCTTTTTATATAATGGTTTAGAATATGGTCTTAAAAATATATTGTAAAAGAAAAAATTAAAAAATCTTCACGAACTAGCGAAATAAACAGTTTTTTGCTCTCCTGAAAACTTGTATTATTTTAGATAGAGACTATTGAATATAGTCCCTCGATATTTTGAATTGTTTAAAAATATCTTGTATATACTGAGATACATACATACATTTTTTGGAATTTATAGTAGTTTCAAACGTTAAGCTAAGATATCTCTAAGAAAGAAGAATATGTAAGAGAGTTTAAACCTTTATTTTAAAGTCGATAAATTAGACTTTTAGATGACATAACAGATTTCATAAATAAAGCTTTCTTCGCACTGTTATAGCGTCTTAAATATGACAAAAAACTTTTTTTGAAATTCATGACACAGGTGAGATTAGTATTTAGCGCTGCCGAATCCTTTTGGAAATATACTTTTTTCAAATTTTGTTGGCTTGTGTTATTTAAGATTGAATTGTTACAGTTTTTCATGCAATTTTATAAGATTTTCTCAATTAATTGCCTTAAATAGAAGGTATAAGTATTGTTGTCTCAGC